CGGAATACAGACCATATCTTAAAAAATCAACAGACAGAACTCCGTATTAACAGAATCTATCTCTGAATGGTAACATTATGGGCTGTTTTTATGATTTTACATACTTTTTTCTGAAAAAATAAGCAATGATCAAATGCTCTGTAGTGAGCTAGAGAGAAAATACAGCATCCAGTGCCACTTCTGCAGCCAGCACTCACCTTCGGCGTCTTTCAAGGAGGGGGCCTCCGGCAGGGAGCCGAGTCCACTCTTCAAGGATGGGGCATCGGCGAGCGAGGTGAGGCTCCCCCCTGGCTTCCCAGTGTCATTCCTCCTAACAGGAAACAAGCGCAGTCAATGCGCCCTGGCCTCTGTCCAGGCACAGAGCAGCGCCAGCAGATCACACACGACATGAAGAACACACAGAATGCACAGCACCAGAGGGCGAGGAGGCACCGGGAGACACCGCCCACCCCTCCCCCAACTCTGTGTGACATCCCATTGCCCCTCCTCTCATCACTGTTTGTGATTCTCTCAGAAGCTCTCCTACCATCACACCCACCCTCCCAGTGCAGACGAAGGCCCTGGGCACTCAAGTGCAGCTCTCCAGAAACCCTGTCCCCGACATCACCAACTTCCCTCTTGAAAACTGGACTGTTCTCGCCCTGGCCAGTTTGGCTCAGTGGATAGAGCGAGTGGACTAAAGGGCTGTGGGTTTGATTCCAGTCGAGGGCACATACCTGGGTTTCAGGCTCCATCCCAAGCCTTGGTCAGGGCACGTGCAGAGGCAACCAATCTATGGGTCTCTCTCACATCGCTGTCTCTCTCTCCCCCTTCCTCCCACTCTCTCTAAAAATCAATGGGAAAATATCCTCAGGTGAGGACGAACAAACAAAGAAGCCCAGGACCATTCTCATCCACATACTAGTCCATGCGTGCTGTTCATCTTCCCGCCCTAATGCCCTAACCCCACACCCGCCCTCCAGCCCCACCCATCCTTCTGCACCCTCCGATAAACTCATGAACAAAGTATTCACCACCGACAGCCTTCCTGAGCCACTCGGACCCATCAGCACGGCCCCAATGCCACCATCTGACTAAACCAGCCGTCCAGGCCATCCTCGGCCTCCAGGCTGCTGCACACACAGGCAGGTTTCAGCGCTAAATGCCGCTGCTTGGCCTGCCTCCTGCTCCAGGCTCAGGCCCCTGCCCGCTGGCTCCTCTCCGGGCTGACCTGGAGACGCTGCAGTGCCCACGGCCTGGTGACCCCGGCAGGCACCCAGCTTTCCGTGCTACCCACGGCGGAGTCCCAAACGCGCATCCAGCCAGAGCTCCCCTCACCCGGCCCTCACCCATCTCACCTTTCCCATGACCATCTCTCCAACCCAGCAAGTGGAAACGGAGCCCTCTCCTGTCCCCTGGCCCACACCTGTGGGCCCGCCCTGCTCTCCCCACCCCTCAGCTCAGTAAAGGGCGGTTTCTGCCTTCCCGGTGCTCAGCCTGGAAACCCGGGACTTCCCTGGGAGCCACTGCTCTCTGAGCGCATCCTTACACTCCCATTCAGGTCACGGCCCGTCTCCTCCTTCTCACCATTCCCCTCACCTCTTCCGGGGCGGAGGACCCCGCCACTCTGCGCCTGGAGACCTGCGCCCAGGCCTGCAACTTGGTGGCCAGGACCTGAGACAATGCCTGGGGACCCAGCCACTCTGCTGCTCAGCTCCAGCGTCCAGTCTCCCTCAGAGCAGAGGGGCAGGGTTGTGCCCGTATGGCGCCTGCGCCCTGCAGCTCCGACCGTGGCTGGCACACGTGAGCCTCAGGACCCCCTGCTGCGGGAGTCGGGAACACCTAGGCTTCCTCACTCTGGACGCATTACCACATCGAAGGCCTTGATCACACAAATCAGACTCGTGTGTCTAAGTATGAGCCTTTAGCAGCTCGCTGTTCTTAACTGTACATACAGCGCTGAGAAAGTTCCTTGTAAGCCTCTAGCCTGATAACCCAAAAGAGTCGACTCACCAACCGTACGTTTTTTCGGGTTTGGGAATGGGGTCGTCAAAGAAAGAATCTCCGTCCAGGTCATCGTCCTGCGGACAGAGGCCAGCCTTGTCTTTGACGTCCAGGCTCTTGTTGCCGAGGAGAGATCCCATTTTTGTCTCCTGGGCCAGGAAGTGGAGACCGCTTCTGCCCTTTGATTCTGACGAGGAGATGCTCGTATCGCTCTGACTAGCACCACTGCCGGCCTTCTAGAAAAAGACAGGGAGACAGGTCTCCTTGGTCAAACAAAACTCGAATAGGTGTTTTAAATCACAGAGTCCTGAACAACTGCAACCCCCTGGGAATGAGTGCAAGAGGCCCTGAGGGGCGGTGGGAGGTCCAGAGCAACTGTAGCCCGCTGGCCCCAGGCCTCCAGCATCCAGAAACGGGGACACCACTCCTCACCCCCTAAAGCAGCGGTTCTCAGCCTGTGGGTCGCGACCCCTTTGGGGGTTGAACAACCCTTTCACAGGGCTCGCCTAGGACCATCGGAAAACACATCTATAATTATATATTGTTTTTGTGAGTAATCACTATGCTTTAATTATGTTCAATTTGTAACAATGAAAATACATCCTGCATATCAGATATTTACATGACGACTCATAACTGTAGCAACATTACAGTTATGAGGTAGCAATGAAAATAATTTTATGGTTGGGGGTCACCACAACATGAGGAACTGTATTAAAGGGTCGCGGCATTAGGAAGGTTGAGAACCGCTGCCCTAAAGGAACCCTTGGCGATGCCCACTCCATTTAGAAACAACTTTCCCATTTCCTCTTACACCTCTATCCCTGCTCCGTAAATTACTGTAAGCAATATTCCCAGCGTGAAAGCAAAGGAAGGTTAGTTCACACAAATGAACCAAGTATCACAACAAAGTGAACACAGCACATTCCGCCCAGGGCCCAGCACACCGCACACCAACGTGGAGGCCGTCGCTGCGTGGAGATCTGCCCCAGTGCAGCCCTGGCCTCCACTCAGACCTCAGAGGGCGCCCCTGCCGCACCTCCAGGTCCATGGCACCTGCGGCCAGCCCCTGAGCGTCCACACCGGCCAGCCCCTGTGCGTCCACACCGGCCAGCCCCTGTGCGTCCACACCGGCCAGCCCCTGAGCGTCTACACCGGCCAGCCCCTGAGCACCTACACCAATGTTCAAGGCTCTCAAGCGCGCTCCCTCCTGTCCTAGCCTGCACGCAACAGCACGTATTCCCTTGTCTACAGTTGGCCCTGATCCTCACAACCTAACATGATTCTGTCCTTCATCGATTTTTTTTGCCCTTAGACATGCCTGTGTTAACAATCAAAAACTTGATTACTAGAATGTCTTATGAACTAGAAAAAAAAAGGTTTTCCAAACTAAAGGCTTAATCTGAACTGCTTGTCACAGAGAAACATTAAAGCCAAATAAAGTTTTCCAAGTTTAAAAAATTCATGCAAATTCTCTTCCTGCCCATGCCTTATCCCCCAGTTTCCTTCCCCAAACCCACCAAAGGCAGTTTCTGACCCGAGACTTATTAATAAATTAGGAAATTTTACTACAGCTGTCTGTATGTCTGTCTGCCCCTCTCTCTCTCTCTCTCTCTCTCTCTCTCTCTCTCTCTCACACACACACACACACACACCCCTAAGTTTAATTCATGCACATAGAAAGTAAACACTGTGTTATTCTAGAATCACAGACACCCACCCCTTTCTAGAAGCTCAGTGGTCCTGGAGAAGACCTATTTCCATGCTCCCTTCACAAGCCGGACCTCCTGCAGGTGCACGGAGCCAGGGCTCTGGCCTTGAAACCAGACTGGACGGCCCACACAGCTGCTCCACGCTCAGCCCTAAACAGCCAGCTGCTCTGGGTCCAGAGGACAGTAGTGCCCAGATGTCAGGGCTCAGGTCTGAAGCAGCCAGGAGTGGACAGCTGGCGAGGCTGAGTGCTGAGCACACTGCCCCTAGGTATGCTCCTGCATTCAGAACGTGTGTGTGTGTGTGTGTGTGTGTGTGTGTGTGTGTGTGAAGGGAACGATAATGCTTGGTTTATCTAGAAAACCAGTGTCTGTAATACACACAGAAACATCCCCCCACCCCAAACACACACACACACACACACACACACACACACACACACACACACACATCATGGTCCTAAACGTGATGCTGGGCTTACTCCAGAATTTTTTTTAAAAAAAGGAGCGATTTAAGAAATGGTCCTTTTTAAAAGAACTTGAAGCAAAAAATAAATACCTCGATGCACAAGTTTAGATACACTTGAAAACTGATTATAAAAAGGCTGATCTTTTATATTTTATGTGAAAATAAAAAGCATCTTATTCTAAGTATTAAAAACAAAACCATCTAATATTCAGTTTTCCCAACTGCGTGGTAAAAACCCAAGTGAGTAGAGCCACAAAGGCTGCTGTAATCTGACACTCCCTTCAGGCGACAGAGCGGCGAACAGGGAACACGTGGAGGTCAGTGCCAGCGTCAACTGCAGAATGTGAACGCACTGAAGAACGCCCCCCACTCACCATCTGCCCACCCTTTCCTGACCCCCAATAACAAAACCCAGAAATACAACCTTCATCTGACCCAAGTTCCATTAGGCCAAAACCTTAGGTTTTGCTCTGCATTCTGACAGGCCCACACTAGTAAGTGCCCATCACTTACAGGGGAAGGACTTTTTACAAGTCCATCTGTAATAGGACCTCAGGCCTTCTCACAACAGAAGCCACGAAGCACCCCTGCAGGCCTGGCTGGGCGCCCGGGTGCCCTGGGCTCTCTGGCGGCTCCACTCTGGGTCCTGCACAAGCTGGTCATGGACCAGCAGGGCGACTCTCTGGGCTTTGCCTGTGGGAAGTGCTGCCCGGCTGCATGTGAACGGCGCCCCCTGGCGGCCAGCTGTGTCCACCCGCCATGATACCGGCATGCGGCTTGGTGTGGAGCTAGCCAGACTTTAGGATGGAGGGGGTTAAGGATAAGGACCTCCTGCATGCACAAGGGCAGAAAGCAGAGGGGTGAAGGGCGGAGGACATCTATGCGCTGGAAACGGTGCTGGGCCCAGACTTCTAACGCGACGCCACACAAGGCCAGGGACGCAGAGGGAAGCAGGGTTCAAAGTGATGGAGGCAGCATCTGGGGCTCAGGGCTCCAGGGCCGGGCGCACAGGCTCTTCAGTCCCCCTCAGCCCCAGGCTGCTCCACGACCCAGAGTGCCATGTGTCTCCCTCCATGTGCTGTTCCCATGGACCCACTCCTTCAAATGCCCGGCCCTCTTCAAACCCACGACACCAACAAGGTTCTACAAGCGTGGTTCCATGACATGCTCTTCAGTCCGGGACACTGGCTAAGGCATCTGTGAAAACACGCTGGTTGATGTTCTTAACGTCTCACCTCTCCAACTCCCCTGTGAACTATTTACTGCTAAGTGGGGACCATACTCATTGTCTCGCCCAGAGCACCCAACACGTGAGTTTCTCTATGTAAATGTTCAGACATGCTTGTGAATAACATTTGGAAACATCTCATACGGAAAGGCATAAAACTAGTGTGAACAAAAGGCAGGAATTCGCCCCTGAGCCGGCAGAACTAAGGCAGCCGGCACAGCGAGTCCTCGGGAATCTCTCCTTTAACCAAGCTCCCCTGGACTCTGAGCCCCACACGCGGCACCATTAGAGAGGACAGCTTCTTCTCACACGTGTACGAACGGACCGACTGACACTGCTTCTCGGACCGCTAATGTTTAACATTTAAAAGGGGCCAGTGCCCGGGCTTGGGCCGTTTTGTGGTCTTTGGGGAGGACGCAGCACCAGCAGCGGGCACTGAGCGCGGGGGCTCCGCCCTCCCCTCGGGGCTGAGGCTGAGCCCCACGCGCGGGGTCACAGCTGTGCACACCAAACATCCTGCAGGAACTCAGTTCGCCTTTAGTTACTGACAGGAATGTCTTAAAAGGTAGTGCGATGCTCTACTGGCCTCAGATAAAAATCATGTGAAGAATACGTACAGGACCATCCATTCAAAAAATAAGTATTTTCAACTTTTGTTGTTGCCTAAAAACAAAAAATCCTCAAAATAAAACTGACAGCACAGTTTAAAAATATAACATATGACTTTCACCTGGATAAAACTGAAAGTCAATTACTTCTTGTTTTATGCCACCGCGACTATACCACGTCTGACTGCAGATAAAAGAGGGTGACATTTCAAAAAAGGAGGTGACCCCGCGCAATGGGGCTGCAGGCCCGGAGCCCCGAGGCTGCTGTCCCTCGCCCTCATGCATGTTACCTTGGCACCAGACTTCTGCCCGCTTGTCTTCTTCTTACCTTGTCCTTTATACCTTGGTATCTGAGCATGAGAATAAAACGACGTTTTACCACAAAGTATAAATCTTTCAAAATAAACTAATTCATAAACAAACTAAAAAGGATTCCTATTAGAAAATGTCCTTAAAACGGAGATATTAATGTGTTCCTTTAGGAAACCCACTTCTTTAGTCTTTTCTTACTCAAGGGGTTCAACTCATGTTTAAACACCCTGCCCAACAGTTACTGGTCAAGCCCGCCCTCCGCGTGGACAGGCCTCCCTCCATGTGGACAGGCCTCCCTCCGCGTGGACAGGCCTCTTCGGGGCGCGCGGAGAAGCCAGGCTTGAACTCCTGAGCAGCTTCCGTTCAGGCCGCTGGCCCCGCCCCCCTTCTCAGGAGCACAAAGCAGGCCCCAGGGCTGGCGGGACCCTGCACTGGGCCACCCGTCCCAGAGTCCCTGGGGCTCCTCGGCTCTCAGAGGAGGGCGACAGCAGGCACCGAGAGAAAGAAGGACGCCGGCGAGGAAAGGGTGACCTAAGTATTGGCATCCAAACCCAGACCCGTGAGGACCGCGGGAGTCACCTGAGCCCAGGCCCCGCAGAGACGAGCTGCGGTGTTTCCCTGTGGGGTGACTGAGGCCAGAGGCTCCACAGAAAACAGTCAGAAGGTGGAGGAGTGAGGGCCCTGCAGGTCTGTTCTCTGATCAACCTCAGAAACCCCACCGCTCCTCTGGGACTGTGTAGAGCAGCGATTTTCAACCTTTCCCCTCATGGCCCGCACGGACGAATCACTAAAACCCTGCAGCACACAAAGACAGTCTGCCCATCTGACCCCAACACTGGGTCACTTAGACTCGTTCACACAGACGGCCGTGCTGCGTGGCTGCTGTCATTCAGCTTTGAGTCTGCGGGCAAGAGGTCGGTGCCCACACTGCATTGAGGAATCGCGCTTGCGGCTCACAGGGGAACATCGCTGGTTTAGAGCAACACTTCCTAGCTGACTTAAAGTGTCCGATTCTCACCATAATTCCTAACTCCTAAAGCAATTTCTACAAAGAGAATGAGAACAGGCAAAACAGACATGAACACTTTATCGTGAAGACAAACCTTCTGTGAAAGGTTAGTCTTGCTAATTTGCTTTAAAAGTAATTTCTTACAAAGGGAGCTGAAGTAACTGGTAAGGATGTGGGACTGCGTGGCCGTGTTAACCCCGAAAGCCAGGCCTTTCCACAGGAAACAGCGCTTCTGAAGGAGGCTTTTCCCTCTGGCAGCTCCGCTCCGAGGGGCTTCAGGAACTTGCCCTGAGCTCACAGGAAAGCTTCGAAGGCCCCTCCCTCGGAGCGGGCCAGTGGCCAGGGAGCGGCCCCAGCACAATGGCCTCTGCTGGTTGGAAACCGGCATCCAATCCCTTCCAATTCTACATTCAGACGACAGGAAGGACCAACCACAGCCGACAGCAGCCGGAGCCCCCCCAGAGCCCACGTCTCGGCCCCAACAAGGAGCCGTCCGGCAGGTCGGCAGCGTGTCACCCCCTCTCCCAGCCCCCAGTCAGAAAGGTCAGGGGACCTACCAGCCCGGCTGCCCCAGGAACACTCTGACTGCTCCCGGGCAGGGGCCAGAGGCCGGTCCCCACACACTCGACACAAACCCACCCTCTGGTGGGTCAGGTTCTCCCAGCGGGCGCTCTGCTCCAGCGCGTCCCAGACACACTTGCCACCAGCACAAACACCCTGGACTGTGAACGAGTGTCCACCCAGTTCGTTTTCTATGGTACCAAACCCCTGAATCAGGGCCCTCACTTCAACCACTTAGAAACCACACACCAATATGGCCCAAGCTCACCGACCTGACGAATCCTCAAAACGGCTCATTAACATCAACACCCGTCAGGCTTACAATCCCAGACGGTCACCCAGCCACGCTATTTAACACAGCGCTCTGCACTCCTAAGCCTAACCTTCTCCAGTTAGGAACTTATAAACGAGAAGTAACGTTCAAAGTACCAAATGAGTCCAATAGTCTACACTTTTATTTAATAGCATATTCCTTTCTATGACACAAAATTTAAAAAACTACCAATTCAAGCAAAATAATGAATGCTTAAAATTCTGTACTTCATCAAAAGGAAGCAAGCAGCGGCAGACACTGAACAGGAGTGCGCCGCGTAAGACGGAGGAGGCCGAGCTGGCGTGCCGGCCAGACCGCCCGAGCCGCCGACTCACCTTACTGGGGCCCGTGTGCGCGCTCAGCTTTCCTTCTGGTGACGGTGGTGGAGAATGCGCATCGGCCAGATCCAGTGCACCCTAAAACATTCCGTGAAAATGAAAACATTTACACATAAGGCATAAATATACTAATTACACCTCGTAGAACTTCAGCATTTAAAACTACTCCACGTGTTGGCATGTTGATTTCTTCCTAATTAACATAAATATCATTAGATTTTCCCAATTTTAATTTTAAAAAGTGAAACACACTTAGATTCTGATTAGCTGCCAAGTATTTCCTCCATCAGCCTGTGCTTTGTGAGGCCCCCTCACTGCCTGACCCCCTGGTCCTGCCCGACTCCGCAGACACCTGCTCTGCCCCCTGGACTGGCTGCCGCTTCATTTGTCTCAAGAAACCTTCTCGCACAGCCCCTCCCTGGTGGGCGCCGCCCTCTTCAAGGGCAGCCCCCCTTCCTGCCCACCCTTCTAAACCAGCGGGCACACAGCAGGACAGACGCCTCAGGGAGCAGCAGCAGCCCTGGGCTGAAGCGAGGCGTCGGAGGGACAAAACCAGCACCAGCAGAGTGTGGCAGAAGGACCAGAACCGGGACTTCTGTCCTGTGGCTCTCACTTGGTGAGGAGGAGGATGGAGTCACACTTTCGCCCAGGAGTCCCGCCTTCTAGTGGAGTAACCAGGTGGGTGGATCCGGGGAAAGGACTGAGCGGGACTTAGGGAGCCATCCCAACAGTAATGGCCAGAGAATCAGAGAAGGTAACGATAATGTCGCCCAGCACTGTTCCCCGAGCTTCACACACTGATGCCTTCAGTCCTCACCATAACCTGTGCCACCTCCAGTTCCCGGGGAGGAGCCTAAGGCACGTGGCTGAGGAGGGCCACCCACAGGGCGTGGCCGCGCTGGGTGTGAAGCGCAGCAGTCTGGCTCCAGAGTCTGGGCTACTCCCAGTGACCACAGAAGGGAGAGCAGACCTGGGAGAAAACGTGGGCAACCACCATGCATGCACGAGGTGCACCCCGGGGGGAGGGGAGGGTGGTACAGAGCCAGACAGAGGTCAGGCCACAGAAGCCAAGAGAGCTGTCACCAGCACTTCCAGGCTGCGGCTCAGGAGAGTGGGAGCTTTAAATGTGTGTCTCTTTTGCTCACTAGCAGCCTACAGTGCCCATCCTGTGATAAGCGGTCACCAGCCTTGTCAAACGACAATGAATGAATGAGATCACAGGCCCGCAGGTGGGGGCAGCCGTGCTCGGGCCAGGCCCCTGTGCCCTCCCAGAGGCGGTTCTGCTGCGGGCGCCCCCTGCCCTGCTTTCACGTTAAGGTTGAATTGAACAAAATTTCAACATGAAACACACTGCCCCCCTTTGACTAAAAATTATTACTCAGAATGTTTGGAACTAATCAGTTACTGTATACTTCCTCTGTAATCACAAACCATTTAAATGTGCATTTTCTTACAAAAGCATCTAATCTTGAACAGCTCTCGACCCTTCTACTACACACAATTTTCTGACACTTTCCCTTTTAACGAAAAGAACCTACAGTATTTATCGTGCAATGGGCACTCAGTCGGCCTGAGCGGTTCTCAGAGGCTTTAACAGAAACTCTGAGGCTGTCCAGGCGGAGGAACGGCCGCAGCCTCCACTCTCACATCCCCTGCGGCCAGAAGCACCCACTTAACCAGCTCCCTGGGACGGTGAAGATGCTGTCTAGTCTGTGACAGTGCCCTTCCGTAACCAGGAATCAGACCGTTAACCTCATTAGCAGTACTTCTAAAAGGGAAGGGTAAGAGTAAGAAAGGTAATAGCTAATCAAACACACAGAAATTAGAAAATGTCTAGAAATAAGCAAAATCAATAGTTCAAACAGTTTTAGATCTAGTTTTAAAAAGCCTTTCAGTTCAAAAATTAACTAGTCTGTAACTCAGCCTCTATGTTTGAAAAACACTAAGAAGATTAACGCTTGGAGTGTTCTCGCCACTTCTTGTGCAGTGCCCTGTGCGGGAGCTCCAGGATGCCCACCCCGAGCTCTCAGACCCCTTTCCCGGAGGAATGGGGAGGTGAGCACTAGTCAGAAAGGATGGTTAGCACTAGTCAGTGGGAGGTGAGCACTAGTCAGGAAGGATAGTTAGCACTGGTCAGTGGGAGGTGAGCACTAGTCAGGAAGGATAGTTAGCACTGGTCAGTGGGAGGTGAGCACTAGTCAGGAAGGATAGTTAGCACTAGTCAGTAGGAGGTGAGCACCAGTCAGGAAGGATGGTTAGCACTAGTCAGTGGGAGGTGACACTAGCCAGCAGGAGGTGACACTAGCCAGCGGGGAGCAAGATCTATTCACAGAACAGGGGCGGCGGCCTCAGAGCACCCAGACTTCCAGTTTTCATTATAACGTGCATTTAACCGATCTGAGTGTGTCACTGCTTCCAAGGAAAAGTCTCTTACTTACCCCCGACTCCCTGCACGGAAGGCGGGGCTGCAGGGGGCACAGTGACTAGCCAGGAGGTAACGAAGCACAGGCTGCACTTACTTCCCCACGGGCGGGCCCTCTCTCCTTCTGCTGACAGCGCCTGATCACTTCCAACAGCAAGGGTCCGCCCACAGTGCCTTCTGCTTCAATGATACCCAAGTCCCGGGCTAAATTCTCTCGACCTTCTAGACCTTGAAACTAGGAAGAAATAAGATGTAAAAGTAAGCTATAAGTGCAGATATATAACAAGATTATTTACTCAGAGCTTAAAGAAAAATATTTTCAGAACTTAGACATCTTTCTAAACTCAGAGACTGTTTTCCTAATGAATGAAATGTCCATTTCTAAAATTTACATATA